GGGACAACTCAAGCAGAGATCACATGGTCATTCATTCAACAAATATTTATTCAGTGATTACTATGTCCCAGAGGATAAGAAGGAAAGCCTATGATTATCCTCAAGTGTTCACAATGTAAAAGGCTGCTATACCCAGGGTGCTGTAGAAGGATGAGAACCATAAGAGAGGTGAGAGCTATGGTCCCTTTCTCCTCTAAGAGAAACTGGCATTTGTTCATTCAACAATTTGAAAGGCATGGCACTGTGTTAGACACAACTGTATTAGACAAAGGCCAAACTGAGGTTGTTACCTTTGTCAAAGGCTTCAACATGGAATAATTCTTTGACCTCCATGGTCCAAAGTTTAAATTACTGCTTTGCAAATACCCTCAACTCCTTGTTCCCTCTCCAGACAAAATTCCATTCCTGGAAGAACTCCACTATCCAGTTTTTATAGCAACACGCAGCAGCTAATCATCTATGGAGAGGGGAAAGACTCACATAACATAGTGTGTCACAGGAAATTCATAATCATTTAACTTCAAATGAGCCCTCAGTAGCTCTGAGACAACAGCTCTGTTCACAAGATCTCTTCCAGACAGGGTACTCTCCCAACATCAAGCAAGAATTATTCCTTGGCTTCCACTTGTTCCTCAAACACATTTTATGCTGTTATCAGAATCTGACTCACTTCACTGAGAAAAATGAAGCCATCTCACCATTAAACTTAGCTGGAAACCACATGGATTTTTTCTTTATTCTCCTCTTACATGGAGAACATGTACCTCCTTGAAAAGGCCAACACTTCCATTATGTGCTGACTGGATTTCATCCCTCTTTGCCTTGGTTCCTCTTGTCATTTCTTCATTCGTACATACATATTTCAAACTCTCCTCAAATGGATCACTTTTTTTTTTAAGATTTTATTTATTTATTTGAGAGAGAGAGAGAAAGCATGAGGGGGGAAGATCAGAAGAAGCAGACTCCCCGCTGAGCAGGGAGCCTGATGCAGGACTCGATCCTGGAACTCCAGGATCATGACCTGAGCCGAAGGCAGACACTTAACGACTGAGCCACCCAGGTGCCCCTCAAATAGATCATTCTTAACATATAACTTATGCTCTCCTATATACCTTAAAAACAAAAAAACCTTCTGCTGACCCCCATATTCTCTTCAGTTACTCCTCTTCATAACTGACTTTCTCCGATAAGTTCACATGCTATAGAGTAGTCACCCTTATCTGCAGAGGATACGTTCCAAGACCCCAGTGGATATCTGAAACTGCCAACAGTACCAAACCCTATACCCACTATTTTTCCCTATACATACATACCTATGATAAAGTTTCATTTATAAATTAGGCACTGTAAGAGATTAACCTACTGTATTAAGTCATATGAATGTGGTCTCTCGCAAAATATCTTATTGTACTATAATCCACCCCTCTCGTGATGATATGAAATGATAAAATGCCTATGTGATGAAATGTAGTTAGGTAAATGACACTAATGACCTTCTGACAATACAAGAGGAGGAAGATCACCTGCTTCCAGACCACAGTTGATTTCGGGTAAGTGAAACCATAGAAAGTGAAACCTCAGATAAAGGGGGACTACTGTAATCACTTTCTCCTATTCATTTTTGTTTTGTTCTTTTAATTGAGGTGTAACTTACATAGAACAAAAAAATTACTTTTTGTTGTATCCTTAGTTCTGTAAGTTTTAACAAACGCAATCATGTACCACCACAATATAGAGAACAGTTCTATGACCCCAAAATTCCCTAGTGTCCCTTTGTAAATACTCCCTCCCACCATCCCCATACAACAATAATCTGTGTTCTGTCCCCAGAGTTTTACCTTTTCCAAAATGTCATATAAATAGAATCATACAGTATGTAGGCCTTTTGAATCTGATTTCTCTCACTTTCCATAATGCATTCGCGATTCATCCATGTTGTGTGTTTTTGTAATTAGTTCCTCTTTATTGCTGACCTGAGCTGAAGGCAGTTGCTTAACTGACTGAGCCACCCAGGTGCCCCGGAATTCCATTTTCTGAGGTCTCCTGGAATATAACTCTTTTAGTCATTGATTTTTACTCATGGAGACTAATGCTTTATAAATCAAGACTGTGAGTGCATCTTTAGTGGGATTTTATTTGGAGGACTCCTATGAGGACTGAGTAGAATACATGTCACATCAGAGAGATTCTGCTAAACACCAGTTACCCCAGGGGCATTACCAGGGATCACTTTGATAATTTCTCAGCTACAGATTTCCTGAACCAAGCAACATATGTCATTTAAAACCCTGAATTTCGGACACCTGGGTGGCTCAGTCGGTTAAGCGGCAGCCTTTGGCTCAGGGCGTGATCCCGGAGTCCTAGGATGGAGTCCCACATCGGACTCCTTGCTCAGTGGGGGGCCTGCTTCTCCCTCTGCTCTGCCTGCCGCTTCGCTCCCCCTGCTTGTGCTCTCTGACAAATAAATAAAATCTTTAAAAAAAATAAAAATAAATAAAATAAAACGCTGAATTTGTGTGAAGACAGGCCTGTGATAGCAAATTTTTAGGAGATAGCTTTCCACTCAAAATCCAAGCCAAAACTGACAAGTTTCCCCAATTCCCTTTCCCATAAGCAGATTTTTTTTAGATATACCAGTTCACTAAAGTAAAGCCAGCCTTTGTTAGCCCATATTAATTATATTATACATATAGTTATAGTTACAGTCTCCACTCAAATTCCCTACCTGGTTTTGGGAAAAGCCTAGCCTCCAATCCCTGGTTATTGACATTGGTAAACATCAAAACTTCAGGGTCTGCTTACAGTGTTGTTTTCCAGCTTCTCTGAATTAGGTGGGAATGCTGGGGATTTCTCTTACTTTGAGAGTGTTTGTAACAGTTTATCCTGAATATTTAGTCTTAAGACCTTCTGACATTATTTGCCATATTGCTGAACATGACAGCCCCATTTTAAAAATACTGTATATTAAAGACTAAATCCACATATAAGATATCAAACATTCAAATATAAAAATGTAATAAAATATAAACAATATAAATCTATTTTTAAATATTCTTATATAGGGGCGCTTGGGTGGCTCAGTCGGTTAAGCGGCTGCCTTTAGCTCAGGTCATGATCTCAGGGTCCTGGAATCGAGCCCCACATCGGGCTCCCTGCTCCGCGGGGAGCCTGCTTCTCCCTCTCCCCCTCCCCTGCTTGTGTTCCCTCTCTCACTGTGTCTCTGTCAAATAAATAAATAAAATCTTTTTAAAAAAATATTCTTATATACCCCATAGCTTAAAGTGAACATACCAATATGGCTGGAGTCCCTTATTGTGTCCCTCCCTGATGTTATTTCCCAACCCTTCACCCAGAGACAATCATCTTGAATATTGTTTAGTTCTCCATGTTGTGAACTTTATGCAAACAGAATTATACTACAGTAATCTGCTACTGGTTTTTATTTCATAAATCAGTGTATGTTTTAGAGAAACATCCTATCTCATTCATTCTTCAAATCACTCTATTAGGTTTCCATCCTCCACCAAGACCACTAACGACTAATGTCTCTACCTCTGTATTATTTGACTACTGATTACATGACTCTAAATATTCATCTATAGGGGTACCTGGCTGGCTCCGGCAGTGGAACATGCGACTCTTGACCTCGGGGTCGTGAGTCTGAGCCCCATGCTGGAAAAGACTTTACTTAAAAATAAATAGGTATTAATCTATAAACCCAATGAATTCCAGATTATCCCCAGGTCGTACCTCTCGTTAAGCTAGTCTTAGATACCCAGTTGCTTCCCTGACATGTCTACTTAACTGTCACAAATACATCAAATTCACCATGTAGAAAACTGAACTTCCCCAGTCTTTTACTGCTCAATAAAATGGCATCACATCTATTTAGTTGTTTAATCTTTACTGGTACTTTTTTTTTTCCTTGTTTAGGCTTTAATTTTTGATCAACAACAGCAGACATTTACTTGTCAGTATCCCCTGTAATTTTATATTAAGAACCTCTTAGGGGCACCTGGGTGGCTCAGTCAGTCAAGCATCTGACTCTAGGTCTCAACTCAAGTCTTGATCTCAGGGCTGTAAGTTCAAGCCTCGCTTTGGGCTCCACGCTAGGCATGGAGCCTACTTTATTATTATTTTTTTAAGATTATTTACTTATTTATTTATTTGACAGAGAGAGGGAGAGAGAGAGAGAACACAAGCAGGAGGAGCAGCAGAGGGAAAGGGAGAAGCAGGCTCCACGCTGAGTAGGGAGCCCAACATGGGGTTCGATCCCAGATGCTTAGCTGACTGAGCCACCCAGGCGCCCCTGGAGCCTACTTTAAGAAAAAGTGGGGTGCCGGGGTGGCTCAGTTGGTTAGGCACCTGCCTTTGGCTCAGGTCCTGATCTCAGGGTTCTGGGATCCAGCCCCACATCAGGCTCTCTGCTCAGTGGGGAGTCTGCTTCTCCTTCTCACTCTCCCTCTGTGCTCTCTCTCAAATAAATAAATAAAATCTTAAAAAAAAAAAAAAAAAGAACCTCTTAAACTACTGCCATGGCTAGTGATTTAGAAAATACATTCAAATGCTGAATCAAATCATAACCACATTGTCGGGCTGTCATGCTGCAGCTCACCTTTGGCATTTCAATTACATATGGCATTAGAGTTTTGATCTCCACAATGCGTTGAGAGCACACAAGAAACAAGACCATTTCTTTTAAAAAGCATCATTTGCCAAACCCTTTCTTACAATCAATTCTAAATCTTTCAAGAGAATCAAACAATATAAGCTCACATTGCAATCTGGATCGATCTAATTTTTTTAAGATTTTTTTATTTATTTACTTGAGAGAGAGAGAATGAGAGATAGAGAGCAATCTAATTTTAATCACATTTCCCCCTTTTCTAGAAATTAGTGTGCTAAAAATAGCATGTTTTCAAACAAACTAACATAATGGCTAATTGTGTTCCTTCTACTGTCTCGGATGGATACAGAGTAACAAGAAAAATTTGCACTCAAGCTTTGCGCAGTGGCAGTATCGTAGCCAATGAGGTTTATCCGAGGCGCGATTATTGCTAATTGAAAAATGTGCACTCAAAAACACTATTTTTAATTCCTTGTAATACAGAGAATTTTTAACAGTGTTTCTATAAGACACACCAATTTAAGATCAATAATTGTCTATGGGTGGTTAATTCTATTTATCAGCTGTCATAAAGCATGCATGGGAACTAGTTGCTGTGCTCAAGTACCATCTCTTGAAAACCAGAACATGAAAACAAATTCTGACCCACCAATAGGCCGTCAACGACCTTTCACTCAGATATTAAATTTCCCCAACGCTGAAATTAGAATAAAAAGCAGCTGTGTCTTTATATGACTTTTCCCCAGCAAGAGTACAACCCGGGACACATAGCAAAGCCTCAATGAGCACGTTAAAAGAATAAACAATAAAAATAATGTCAAGGTTCAAGAGTTTACAGTATGTACCAAAAAGTAAGAAGTATTCACAGACGCTTTACTTTCGGCAATAGATCAAGTTGCAAAAAAAGTTACATATATGATCTTTACAAATTATTTCATTTTGGGGTGCCTGGGTGGCTCAGTCCGTTAAGTGGCTGCCTTCCACTTAGGTCATGATCCTGGAGTCCTGGGATCAAGCCCTGCATCGGGCATCCTGCTCAGCGGGGAGCCTGCTTCTCCCTCTGCCCTTGACCCCCTGCTAGTACCCACTCTCTCTCTCTCAAATAAATAAATTAATTATTTCATTACCAATCTACCTTGCTATATGAATTGCTATCTAGATGACCTTGCATTACTGCATCCTATAAAGAAAAGTTTGGTAACTATTTGTTAGAATGTGCATAATTTCCTAATTTATCTATTTCATAACTTTGATGATACTGGATTTGTTATTGTTGTTTCATTCTTTATAAAAGTAGAATATGAAGATATCTCAAATTCATTTTGGAAGTATGAAGAGGATAAATATAAGTAACTAAAAAGTGAAGTACCTGTACATTCAAATGTTTATTTTTAACCACTCCTTTATACAGACATATTGGGGAATGGAACAGTACTGAAAGAAGATTTCTCAGGATTAATAACACAATTTGATAAAGAGTAGAACATCTGAACAGAATTGGGGAGAAGAGGCAGTATCAACCTATCAAAACCCATTGTTTCTATTTCTTTTGTTTTACATGACAGTGCTTTATATGGAAGGTATACCATAAATTCAAATTAATTTAAAACAAAATCCTATCCATAAATACATTATTTTTAAGTCGGCTCTACACCCAATGTGGGACTTGAACTCATGACCCCAAGATCAAAACTGCTCTACTGACTAAGCCCAGGCACACCTCCTATCCATATATTCTAGTATATGTGCTGCTGAAGCAAGCACTTCTATCCATATATTCTAAATACACAATTTTATAAAGTATTCTTGTGAATTTGGAACATGCTCCTTGTAGTATGTGATTATTACAAGATCACATTCAAAGCCCATGCTATACCAATGGTGAATGTGAAATTCTATTTAAGCATAATATAGAATCCATTATTTCTCACTTTAAAGACCTATACTTTCTGGGCGCCTGGGTGGCTCAGTTGGTTAAACGGCTGCCTTTGGCTCAGGTCATGATCCCGGAGTCCCGGGATCTAGTCCCAGGACGGGCTCCTTACTCAGCAGAGAGCCTGCTTCTCCCTCTGCCCCTCACCCCCCTTGTGCGCTCTCTCTCTCTCTCTCTCTCTCTCTCTCAAATAAATAAAAATCTTTAAAAATAAGTAAATAAATAAAATAAATACCTATACATTCTAGGAATAAATCAATTCCCTGTCCAGGATAGCCACCAAGTCAAACTCCATTGTCACAAACTTTGATTTAGAGTCAGCAGCTGTGTGACACATGAAGTTTTATATAAATGTGGATGGAGGGCGCCTGGGTGGCTCAGTTGGTTAAGCGACTGCCTTCGGCTCAGGTCATGATCCCGGAGTCCCGGGATCGAGTCCCACATCGGGCTCCCTGCTTGGCAGGGAGTCTGCTCCTCCCTCTGACCCTCTTCCATCTCGTGCTCTCTATCTCTCATTCTCTCTCTCTCAAATAAATAAATAAAATCTTTAAATAAATAAATAAATAAATAAATAAATAAATAAATAAATAAATAAATGTGGATGGATTATCACTAACCTCCACAATTCCTAAAAAAGAATTTTAATCTAAGGTTACAGAGGTAATGCACATACACTGCGTGCTAAGAAGTCTAGGTCCTTCCACCAACAGAGAAATTACTGATACTTTCTTGTTCTTAATGAACACCCCATACAAATACACATTTCCAATACTTAGCAAAATCCTAACAGTTCTACCTATCGGGTAGCTTCAACTTGCCACCTACCTCCCACCCAAATTCACCCCCTTATTCTTCACCCTGCTCTCTATTCCTGTAGGTAAGTGGATCCCATGAATAGATCCCCTTGCCCTGCTATCAGTTTGGTTCTGACAATGTGAAACTCCCAAAGAAGACAGGAGGGTGAATTAAGTTAGAACATGTATTCCTATCCTAGTGTGACTATACAAATGCCACAAAAAATGGGATGGCTCAAAATAACAGAAATTTATTCTCTCAGAGATCTGGAGGACAGAAGTCCAAATATCAAGTCCCCTGTGAGCAGGGCCATTCTCCTCTGAACGCACTAGGCAAAAACTGTTCCTTTCTTAGCTTGTGGTGGCTCCTGGCTTTCCCTGGCTATGGCAACATAACTCTGATCTCTGTCTCCATCTTCACATGACCTTCCTCCCTGTGTCTCTAGGTCTCAAATCTCCTCCCTTTTCTCATAAAGATCCCACCAGTCACTGGATTTAGGTGGACCCTAAATCCAGATAATTTCAACAAGATTCTCAACTTAGGAACACCTGAGTGGCACAGTCTGTTGAATGTCCAACTCATGGGTTCAGCTCAGGTTGTGATCCCAGGGTCATGGGATCAAGCCATGTGGGGCTCCACGCTTGGTGCGGAGTCTGCTTGAGATTCTCTCTCCCTCTCCCTCTGCCCCTCCTGCTTGTGCTCTAGCCCTCTTTAGGATAAATAAATAAGTCTTAAAAAAAAAAAAAGATTCTCAACTTAATTGCATTTGCAAAGACCCTATCTCCAAATAAGGTCAAATTCATAGATTCCAGGAATTAGGATGTGAACATGTTTTTGGGGGCATGGTTCAACCCACTACAGATTATTTCCCCAGCTCTCTCTCTTTAAGGTTGCCTTGAGGGGCTGTGTCCCGCCAATTACTGCTTTAAAGTTAGCTCTTTCTCCTGGCTATAGACTGAATGTCTGTGCTCCTCAAAAATTCTTATGTTGAAATCTAACCCCCACTTTGATGATATTTAGAGGCAGGAACCTTTGGGAAGTGATTAGGTCATAAGCCCTCATGAATGGAATTAGTGCCCTTATAAAACAGACTCCAGAGCACTCCCTTCCCCTTTCTGCCATGTAAGAACACAGCAAAAATATCTATGAAACAAGAAGTGGGTTCCCACCAGACACCAAATCTACCAGCAGACATGGACTTGATCTTGGACCTCCTAGCCTCCAAAACTATGAGGGGAAAAAAAAAAAAACTATGAGAAATACATTTCTGTTGTTTATAAGTCACCTAGTCTATGGTATTTTTGTTACGGCAGGCTGAAGACTAAGACACTCCTTCTGGGAGGTCATCTGGGCCCACGATGGCAATAGTTACTTAGTGGAGTAAAACATTATTGTGCTTTTCCATAACTCACCCTATTATCTTTGGAAGTAGTCCTTTAATTAAATTCTCATTGAATTATCCCTGTTCTGAATGTGTCATCTATTTCTTGCTGTGCATATGCCTGTTACACCTTCCAAATTAATTTCTAGTCCATCCCCTTCTCTCTAGCTATACTACCAATTTCTTTTTTTTAACACTATCAATTTCTTTTTTTTTTTTTTAAGATTTTATTTATTTATTTGACAGATAGAGACAGCGAGAGAGGGAACACAAGCAGGGGGAGTGGCAGAAGGAGAAGCAGGCTTCCTGAGGGGCTGATCCTAGGAATCCCGGATCATGACCTGAGCCAAAGGCAGACGCTTAATGACTGAGCCACCCAGGCGCCCCTACACTACCAATTTCTAATCCAAGTTACTACCATATCTTACCTAGAATACTGAGAAATTATAAATTAATTTCTCTACTTTTGCTCCTAATCCTTTTCCAATCCATCTCTACCTGGAGTCTAGACTCATCATTTCTAAAATATAAACTGTACCATGTAGCTCTAATAAACATGTTTTATTTATTATTAAGATTTTATTTATTTATTAGAGAGAGAGAGCATGAGTAAGCAGGGGGAGGAGCATAAGGGGAGGGACAAGCAGACTCTGTGCTGAGCACAGAGCCCGATGCAGGGCTCAATCCTCACAACCCTGAGATCATGACCTGAACGAAAATCAAGGGTTGGACAATTAACCAACTGAGCCAACCATATTTAACATGTTTTAAAGACAAGGACTTTAAGGGACACCTGGCTGGCTCAGTCAGGAAAGCATGTGACTCTTGATCTCAGGGTCATGAGTTTGAGCCCATGGATGTAGAGATTACTTAAAAATAAAATCTTAAAAAAATGTAAAATAAAGACAAGGACTTTAAAACAGATATTATAATTCATGGATATAAAGGAGAACATGAGCATAACAAGAGAATAAGTATGGAATCTCAACAGAGAAATGGAAGATCTGAAAAAGACCCAATGGAACTTCTAGAGTTGAAAAATAAAATGCTTAAAATAAATAATACATCAGATGAGATTAACAGATTAGACACTACAAAATCAGACATCAGTGAAGTTGAAGGTAGTGCAATAGAAACTATCTAAACTGAAACAGGAAAATGTTGGCAAAAAATAAATAAAGTATGCATAAAGCCACAAGTCCAATCTTAAGCAGTCTAATATAATAAACATGTGATTGAAACTTCCGAAGACAGGAGATAGAGGGAAAAAAATTTTTTTTTAAAATAATGGTCAACAAGGACACTGTCCTATCCTTGGAATGTATGCAGTTGTTTTTGTTAAATATTAATTGAATCTCACAGTTAATTCACTGAGTACAAAGAACAATTTAAACAAATGTGAT